AACGCAGGTTGTTAATGAGTTTTCCTCCAATCCTATGTCCCATTATTCTCCATATAGTCCAGGTCCTCAGATTATTTGCTCAGTATACAGAGTGAATAAGTATGGTGAAAGGATACAACCCTGACGCACACCTTTTCTGACTTTAAACTACACAGTATCCCCTTGTTCTGTTTGAACAACTGCCTCTTGATCTATGTACAGGTTCCTCATGAGCACAATTAAGTGTTCTGGAATTCCATTGTTCACAATGTTATCCATAATTTATTATGATCCACACAGTCGAATGCCTTTGTATAGTCAATAAAATATAGGTAAACATCTTTCTGGTATTCTCTGCTTTCAGCCAGGATCCATCTAACATCAGCAACGATATCCCTGGTTCCCCGTCCTATTCAAAATCCGGCCTGAATTTCTGGCAGTTCCCTGTCAATTTACTGCTGCAGCCACTTTTAAATGATTTTCAGCAAAATTGTACTGCATGTGATATTAATGATATTGTTCAATAATTTCCGCATTCAATTGGATCGCCTATCTTCGGAATGGGCATAAATATGGATCCCTTCCAGTTAGTTGGCCAGGTAGCTATCTTCCAAATTCCTTGGCATAGATGAGTGAGTGCTTCCAGCACTGCATCTGTTTGTTGAAACATATCAACTGATATTCCATCCATCCCTGGAGTCTTTGCAATGAAGAAGTCATTGATCTAGCAAAATTCAATCATGCAATCTCCGGTATCACTTCTATCACCAAGACCATGTTTTCCAACTACAGATCCTTCTTCTTTGTTTCCAACTTTCGCATTCCAATCACCAGTAATTATCAATGCATCCTGATTGCATGTTCCATCAGTGTCAGACTGCAGAAGCTGGTAAAAATCTTCAGTTTCTTCATCTGTGGCCTTAGTGGTTGGTGCATAAATTTGAATAATAGTTGTATTAACTGGTCTTCCTTGTAGGCGTATGGATATTATCCTATCACTGACAGCACTGTACTTCAGGACAGATCTTGAAATGTTCTTTTTGTCAGTGAATGCAATGCCATTTCTCTACAAGTTGTCATTCCCGGCATAGTAGACCATATGATTGTCCACTTCAGAATGGCCAATACCAGTCCATTTCAACTCACTAATGCCTAGGATATCAATGTTTATGCATTCCATTTCATTTTTTGGTGATTTCCAATTTTCCTAGATTCATACTTTGTACATTCCTCATTCTGATTATTAATGGATGTTTGCAGCTGTTTCTTCTTATTTTGAGTCGTGCCACATCAGCAAATGAAGGTCCTGAAAGCTTGGCTCCATCCATATCATTAAGGTCAACTACTTTGAAGAGACAGCTCTTCCCCAGTCATCTTTTGAGTGCCTTTCAACCTGGGGTGGAGAGCTCATCTCCTGGCACTATATCAGATAATGTTGCACTGCTATTCATAAGGTTTTCACTGGCTAATTCTTTTCAGAAGTAGACTGCTGGGTCCTTCTTCCTAGTCTGTCTTAGTCTAGAAGCTCAGCTGAAACCTGTCCACTATGGGTGACCCTGCTGGTATCTGAATACAGGTGGCATAGCTTCCAGCATCACAGCAACACACAATCCCCTGCAGTACAACAAACTGACAGACACATGGGGGGAAATAATGTACTGCGTTAGTAATCATCACAATGTCAGTATCTGTCTCTTTATAGAGCTAAAGAAAATGCTGTGTGATCCATAAGAGGAGAAATAGTTTGTTGATAATACTCTGCAGAACTCCCATTGCTTTGCAAGGATACAGATATGATGTAACCTTAACATCTGAAGTGTCAGGTATATAAGGCTATAGGCTTAGCAGAGCAATTAGTACATGTCTAGTCCCATTCCCGCTGAAATTTTTTTTTTAACCAATGAATGTTGTAGGTTTGAAAGCTGTCACAGAGAATCTAAGAGAACTCACTGGCATAGCCATCCAGAGTTGGTGTGTAGCTTCAAGAAATATGGTCAAAATTATGATGGTTCTTGAAGGTTGTAATCAATGTCACTGAATTGTACATGTAGAAATTGTTGAATTGCTGTATGTTTTGTTGTGTATATTTTCCCCACAATAAATTATGGTTGTTCGTAGCAATTATGGTATTTGCTGTATGGGACTGTGGACTAATAATGTGATTATTTTGTTTTGACTTGGATTTTCTTCATTGAAATGTAGTGTCAAATGTGTACAAAGTCAGGTAATGACATAAAATTTTATTTTAGTCATACAGAAAATGTAGAGTAATTCTGATAGATTTTGGGGTTTGAAGGATTTTACAATTTCCTTTGTAGGACACATTTTACAATTTTACTTCCTTAAATAAGTGATGAGGGAATTTCAATATCATGTCCCTGTCAAGAACAACAGAGGACAAGCTCCTGATGAAAGTTTTCTGGATAAGGGTGTAGAGAGGGATGGAAGGAAGAGTAAGGGACAGGATTTGGATGGTGATAGGCAGATTTTTTTTTTTCTTTTCTGTAAAAATGTGTTTTTGGGGGTTGAGGAGGGAGGAGGAGGCTGAGTCAACGTAACCACCTATGCTAAGTCCCTTCAGTCAGAGATACTGCTCAGCAGATAATACTTGTGAAAGTTAATTTTTCATTATGCATCATTAAGCCAGGTTAGGAGCACCTGGGCATGGGTTATGGCCACGGGCAGATTATCGCATTGGCAAGGTAAACACGGTGCTTATCTTGCTTACCATATCATTTGTGATGAACAATTTCAGTTTTTCACCACATCAGAGATTCTGCTTCTAGGTCTGGCTGGCATCTCTCTCTCTCACAAACCCACACAGTACCTTCCTACAGAGTCAAAGCCTTTTTTCAAATTTACAATCCCTGACAGGAGCGGATGACCCAGTAAGCAAAGTAAACGCGACTGATCTGTAGTGAAATTGTTCACTACAAATGATCTGGTAAGCAAGGGAAGCACCATGCTTAACCTTGCCTATTGGATAATCTGCCGCTAGTTATGGAGAGGCTGGACCACTAAGTCAATGACATAGTCTTGTGTAAGACGCTGGTCCATTGAGTTGCCTGTATTTGTCCCCTTTTACTCCTCTAGAAAAGCTTATATTAAAAAAAATATGTATCTAGGGGCATTTTGTTAACCACCATGCACTTCAGATTTTTATTTGTTACTTGTTTCTGACAGTATTTTTGATAATGTGTCCGCTTTGCTGGAAGAAGGAAAAGAAGGCTAGGCACATGCCACATAACTTAAAGAACATCAGCAGTAAGCGGCAGTGTGCTGTGGACAGGGCACTAATCAATCTGTTCAGGTTCAAACCCCTGCTGAGAATTTGCATTTCTAACAAGTTCCCAGGTGCTGCTAATTCTGCCAGTTAGGGACCAATTCTGAGAACCACTAGTAGAGCAGTGGTTCTCAAAATTTAGTATACATAAGAATCACGTGGGGATCTTGTTAAAATGTAGATTCTAATTCAGTACATCTGGTGTGGAAATGCAAATTCTTAGCAGCAATTTGAAATGGAACAAACCAGTTTGGAGCCCTGGCTGTGAGAGGTTCAAGAAATATTACATCATGTCTCTGCCCTCACTGAACTTATGGTTGAATTAGTGAATAATAACTGTATATCTCTCTCTTTATCTCTGTAGCTTTATTTTCCAAAATATATAATTTTCCTTGTCAGGCTTATGCAAATAAAGAAGGATGAGAATGTTATAATTCTTTGACTCATATTAGTGTTGGAAGGGAAGTATCTAAAGGTCTTTTGTAAGTATTTTAGTATAAAGCAGTGGCAGGGAGCTACAAAGTTCAGAAACTTGAATTGTATTTTTAGCTTAGCTGAAGGGGCTTTAATGAAAGAAACTTACGCATGTTAATAGACAACTCCTTATGTCTTCCCCCTTCTCCAGCTAAAAACTATTTAAAATGAACAAACAACCTCACACTGTAACACCCCCTTTTCTTCCTTTCTCTGGCTCTAGCAAGAAGTCATTTACAAAGATTTTTATTTTCTAACTTTTATAAACAAATGGTACAATAAAAAAAGGTCAAGGAGGTATTGAAACATCATATTTCAGCAAAACTAAAATGTGTATTTTAAAAGAGGGACACTAAAGTCAGTTGTGGAATACATTTAGCAAAGATAATTAGATTGGCGGTAATAGCCTGGAAAGGGCCACAATTGGAAAGTCTATTTATTTATGGACAACGATCAACTTATGTATTTATTTTACCAATGAATTTTTCCACAATAATATTAAAATTGTGATGTTTACTTGTGGCTCCCACCAATTTATAGGGGCTGTAATGTTTTGTGATTGCCCCTGAAAGTCAGTGAAAATGCAACATTATGTAGGGGCAGAGCACTGCTCAGAAAACTTCTATTTAAAGTCCAACACCAGCAATTTTATCATGTGATATTGAGCAAGTCATTCAGTCTCGGTGAACCTCTTTTTTTTTTTTCCGTATAAAATGGGATTAAACATAAAATTTTTAACCCTATGGAGCTAGATTAAAACCCATTGCTGTCGAGTCGATTCTGACTTACAGCAACCCTATTGGACACAGCAGAACTGCCCATAGGGTTTCCAAGGAGCAGCTGGTGGATTCGAACTGTCAACCTTTTGGTTACCAGCTGAACGCTTAACCACTGGTGCCACCAGGGCTCCTCAGAGTTGGATTAAGTGAGAAAATATGAGATACAGTGTCCAGTATATTGTACATGCTCAATAAATGAAGCCATTTCTTGGTCAGATATTTCACTTTCTTTTTTGAAAAAATTATTTATTGTCGTTGTTGTTGAGTATATATACAGCAGAACATGCACCAATGCAACAATTTCTACCGTACATTCACTTTTTTGATTAAAGTTAAACTTTAAGCAATTATTTCTTCCATAGGTAAATACTCACGGGTGAATACTATATGAATTTTTGAGGGGAAATTTTAGTCTCCTTCACTGATTTGTCATGATATTCCTTTCTTAGATGTGTAAATGCTAGTATTTTTTTCTTTTTTCCTAGACAACAAGCAAGTGAGCAGCCTCTGCCTGCCTCTTTTTTTCCACCAGAGATGCTCACACCATCAGGTTACACAGGACAATTTTTTCAGCCAGCATCCAGCCTGGATTATTATTCACAATCTCCTTACATTGACGGTTTCGATGAAGAGCCTCCTTTGCTAGAAGATAAGTTAAGGAAGTGTTATTAATGTGTGTATAGCCTGAAGAATAATAGCAATAATCAGCACTTAATGTGTGCTGTCAGCCTGCTGTGTACCATGGTTTATGTATGATTGTTCCACATATAAATAAGAATTTGCCAAACCAAGACACTTAAATCACTGTAAGTTTGTTACATGTTTGCATGTGCTATTGATATGACATTGCTGCTGTTATTAATTTTTTTTCACCCTTTCTTAAATTTGGACACCCTGGCCGTGTCTAGACAACAGTGAAGACGTCTTTTGGAAGAGTGATTGGTTATATCAAAGTAACCACCCCTCCCACCCTAGTTAATGAAGCATTTCATAACGGCATATTTCAAGTTGGTATTTTCTGTTATGCTCCCCGGGGGGCAAAAAAGGGTTGTTTCTCAACTTACTATTTTTTGTTGTTGTCATGGAGACAAGGCAGTGCCCTTTCCCCCTTGCCTCATATGAGCCCTCTTAGCTAGCCATGGCTAACTCATTAAAACACTCATTGCCATCAAGTCGATTCCGAGGAAATATGAGAGTCAAGGAAAGATAGTCACAGGTTAACTGCTCTCCCAATTACATTCTGCGTAGTCAAGTGAAAAAGAATAGATCAAAATCCCTGTTATTTCCTCAAAAGATCAATTTGCCTCATATGAACATAGCCAAACACCTGGCATTAAAACTAAATCTTCTTCGTTTGCTTTAAAAATTAAAAAAAAAAAAAAAAAGATTTAAATCATTTGGAAAAGCACAGAAAATAATATATTTGTTGGCTCTTTAGAAGCCAGTTAAATGTTTGAATCAGTCATGTTTAACTGATCTATTTTGCATCTGAAATTAATAGCCAACACCTGAAAGTTATAATCAGTTATTATTAAACATTTTCCTGGACTTCACTAACATCTCTGCTTTTTAGAAACTAACAGTTTTCTAATTATAAAAGTAATCTATATTCCGTATAGAGAATGTGGAAAATACAGAAACAGTAAAAATAAAAAAAAACACCTAAATTCTTGTCTCTAAGAGATGACCACCATTAACTGATATATTTCCTTCCAGCCTTTATTCTATTTTTCTGTGAACGTATATATACAAATATATAATATATATATACTTAAAACCTAAATATCATTTTCCTATGAATGTATAGATATTTATGAATACTAAAAATGAAAGTTGGATCATTTGTGGGTATAATTTTTTTTCTAAAGTTGGATCATACTGTGGATATAATTTTTTTTCTAATTACATTATATCATGAGCATTCTTTAAAGTCATTAAATATTACTGGAAAATATGTTTAATGTTTTCCAATATATAATATAATGACTTCATAATATTATATCGTATAACTGTATCATGATTTAAACACACCCTAAAGGTTGTTACTTATAATAAGAAATGGTAAACATCATAGTAAGCAACCTTTGACCTATACAGAGTCAGTCCTTAAGATGGCTCCATAACACTGGGATTACTGAGTCAAAAGGTACTTTCACTGCCAAGTTGATCTCAAAAAATGATGTTCCACCACACCCTCATAGTAGAACACACGTTGTCTGGTTACTGGAAAATTAGACATTTTTAATATGTTTATTGACTGTTTCTGCTTCTTCATATTTATCATGTTCTTTGTCAAATTTCCTCTTGGAACCTAAAGAGTGTTTCTTTCCTTGTTTATTTTCAGAGAGATTTATGTAGTAAGAATATTTATTATTTTCTGGAATATGTATTGAAAGCATTTTTCCCGAGATTTTGTTTGCTATTTAATTTGTTTATGAGACTTTGAGCATATAGAAATTTAAATATTTATGTTTTAAAATCCACAATATTTTTCTCAATAACTTTTCTTTTCAATTGCTCTTTTGTTTACAATCTATTTCTCCAGCTCTAGATATGCTTATATCCCCTTATAGATATTTTAATTTTAAATTTTCTTTTGCCTTTAAATTTTTGATTCATCAGAAGTTGTTTTAGGTTAATATGTGAAGTCAGGACCTAACTTTATTTTTTTCTTCAAATAGTTGAAACATTTTTTTTTCCTGTACCATTTACTGAAAATGATCTTTGCTTTTCTACCGCTCTGAAATATCTCTATTGTTGTATACTAAACTATTATGCGTCCTTCACTACTGTCTCTTTAAATTTGAAGAGGAAACATACCAGATTTCCTCTCCTACTTCATATAACTCAGAGTGAATTTTTTAGATTTTTTGTCCACTTTGTGATTATCCTCTCAAATGTCTAGGATATTAGAATAGAGAGTACCTAATATAATTTTGTCTTTTGAATCTATGAACTATCTAGACCTCTGCTCCAATATATATTTCAGGCTGGGTGACTTTGTGAAGGCCTCAAGCCTCATCTATCTTAAAGCCATAGACAGGATTTTTAGGATAAGTTGGCAAATGACATTTTCTAGTTTTTATTGAGCATACAGAAAAATGGCCTATAAAATTATGAAGCCATAGTAATCAATATCCCTTGAACAAAAGCATGTTATTTTGAACCGTGTTTATTTATTTCTTAAATGTTTTCAAGTCTAAAACACTTGCGGTAACTTTTGCTATTTGATAAGGTATGATTAATACATTAACAAATGCATCTTGAAGAGTAATAGCCAATTCAAGGCTGTCAGGCCAGAAAAAATTACTATGATATTTGGCATTTTGTATTTGTAGCATAGCCTGATGTTTATATTTGAAAGGCCAATGCCACAATTTTCATAGGAAATAAAGATATTAATTCATTTTTATAGCATATATATCATATACTTTACTACCACTAGATGACAGCAAAACAATAAAGTTTACAGTCACATTTCACAGAAGTTATATCTTATTTTGTATAATAAGGTTTTGTATTAGAGTACCTAAAATTAATAACTACTTATAATTCGTTTGCATATCTTGTAATAATAAGGTGCAACAAAATATTGTGGAAATATATTTCTGCAGAAAACATACAAAATTTTTTCCTTATAAAAATATTTAGTAAATTTTATATTCATTAACTGTCTCATGATTCAATATTGAAACATGCAGAAGCTAACTATACTATCAAATAAATGTTTGAATTCAGTAATAATGTCCCATAAAGCATTTTCCATCTGAGTTACTTGAAGAAGAATTATGTTTTTTGAGGAAAAGGAATTTAAAATCAAAGGCCACTTTATTGTGGCAAATACAGAAAACATACTGTTAGTGTAAATATAAAAACTGAATACAAATTTAGAAAACAACTTAAGCCTCAGGCAAAATTAACTTAAACTACAACACTTCTCAATTTTTTAAATTTGCATTAGACTTTTTTTTTATTGTTGTGCTTTAAGTGAAAGTTTACAATTCAAGTTAGTCTCTCATATGAAAATTTATACATACATTGTTTTGTGACAGCACGCTCTTCCTTTCCACCCCAGATTTCCCGTGTCCATTCAACTAGCTCCTGACCCTCTCTGGCTTCTCATCGCTACTCTGGACAGGAGCTCCCCATTTAGTTTCATGTATCTAAGAAGCACACTCTTCACGAGTATCATTTTATGTGCCATAGTCCAGTCTAATCTTTGTCTGAAGAATTAGCTTCAGAAATGGTTTTAGTTTTGGGTTAACAGAGCCCAGGGGCCATGTCTTCCAGGGTCTCTCCAATCTAAAGCAAACCATTAAGTCTGGTCTTTTAACTAGAATTTGAGTTCTGCACCCCACATTTTTCCTACTCTGTCAGGGACTCTCTGTTGTATTCCCTGTCAGGGCGGTCACTGGTGGTAGCCAGGCACCGTCTAGTTCTTCTGGTCTCAGGGTGATGAAGTCTCTGGTTTTTGTGGCCCTTTCTGTCTCTTGGGCTAATACTTTCTTTGTGTCCATGGTGTTCTTCATTCTCCTTTACTCCAGGTGAGTTGCATTAGACATTTTCACCTTATTTTAACCTTGGTGAACTGCTCATAATCTCCAAAGCAACATTCATTAAAAAATGTGCAAATACACTGTGAGAATATAAGATGAAACATGGAAGTTGAAATTTATTTGCTCACTCTTAATTTAATGAGTCAAATTCTTTCCTTTCGAGCTTGGGAAAATAAATTTCAATTTGGGAAACAAGGGAAAGAATGCCTTTTCTATTCTAGTTCAGACTGATGTCTGACTGACCTTCTGAAAATTTCTGGGTCTGTGTTAGAGCAAGGCGCCTCTGTATCCTGGGGATCATTAAAAGCCATATTGTATTCTGCATATAGAATGTCAGCTTTGCAGGTGTGCATGTGGTGTATACCACTGTAAAGGAGGTTTAGCTGTACCTTGTACCTGACCAAGGAGAGTTGCTGAATCCTGGGAAGTTATAGTTGAATGCCATCCACAAAAGTATTTCAGGGAGACAGTCCTTCACATAGGAGAATTAGGCTCAATTAAAAAAAAAGAAAACAACCAATATGAGGTTAGATGCACGTTGACTCAACCACAACTACATGTAAGTTTTCAAATGATACCTTTGGAAATCATTTGCTCCTCTGACTTTGGAGTCTAATATTGTCGTGGTTAAAAGAGTAGGTTCCGGATGAAGATTATCCAGTGTTGAAACCTGTATTTTCGATTTGGCTCCCTTTTTTCAGAAATAGATTGCCTGACTTTTCTTCCTAATCCATCTTCATCTGGAAGCCCTGCTGGAGTCTGTTCAGCATCATAGAAATATGCTCATCTTCCACTGGCAGACAGATGGTGGCTGCGCTTGAGGTGCATTGGCCGCACTTGAGGTGCATTGGCTGCACTTGAGGTGCATTGGCCACACTTGAGGTGCATTGGCCACACTTGAGGTTCATTGGCCACACTTGAGGTGCATTGGCTGCTGTTGAGGTGCTTTGGCCACACTTGAGGTTCATTGGCCACACTTGAGGTGCACTGGCCACACTTGAGGTGCATTGGCCGCCATTGAGGTGCTTTGGCCACACTTGAGGTTCATTGGCCACACTTGAGGTGCACTGGCCACACTTGAGGTTCATTGGCCACACTTGAGGT